AATCGGGAAATTGGATGTCGAAAGGATTCTACATGTATGTACTTGTAATCAAAATATGTTTACTCGCTATTCACTTAATACTAGATTCATGCTACTTGCTAGGTGTTCCCATGATATGTGGGTTCTTGAATTAAAGGGGTTAATTCAAGAATAAGAGTTAATAAGATTAACTCAAATTACAAAGAGTTGTAAACCCACTACTAGTATTAATTGTGAACCTAAAAGGTCACACCAATGTTTGTATAGAGACAAATATTAGTATTTCTAAAAAGTTAGAATTGATTGACAAAATCTCATTTTGATTAGATGTCAATTAAAGAAATATATTAAATTAATCAATTGGATTGATTAATATTAATTTAGTGACTAATGTAATTACTAAATTAATAGTTGGATTTTAAAATTGGATTTTAAAATTCAAATCCATATAATAATATGATTATTATATGAAAGAAGAATATTAAATATAATATATATGTTTACAAATGATTTTAAAAAAGTTTAAAATTATTTGTTTATTATTATTATGGCAAAATTGCGCCTAATATCACCACCTTTATCGAAATTGCAAATTAATCACGACTTTTGGACTTCGGCGCACAATATCATGATCTTCAATTTTTGGCAATACGGTACATGAAATTCCTCAGCTCCCCAAAAAAAATCGACGTGGCTTAAATTTGCCACCGCGGAGGCTTACCTGGCGGTCCACCTCGGAGCAATACGACGTCGTTTTAATTCTTTTTATCCACGTCAGATCAAAACGACGTCGTTTCGATATTCTAGCAATACTGAAGTCATTAAACCCTAATTCCTTAATTCAGAAAAATGCAAAAAAAATCAGAAAGATTCAGAAAAACCTAATAAGCCATAACCCTAAACCCTAATTCCCTAATTCCATAATCAATCAACTTCATGGTTTCCAAATTCAGAAAAATTAAACCTAATAAGACATTAAACCCTAGTTCCCAATTTAAACAATCTACAGGCTTAAAGCAATTACCATGGATACATGTAAACTAGGCTTACCAATCGATTTTTGCACCTGTAGAACCTCCTACCCAAATTTCGATCAGTATTAGAGGTCAGCAATTCGGCCTTACTATGGATACATGTAAATTTTGATGTTGTACTCCTAGATGAGCTGGATTTGGTTGATATTTTGCCTACTCCTTCTTCTCTGATGACGAAAACCCAGCCCCAAAAATTTTCTCCTGCAGATTGAAGAAGAGTTCATCGACTGATTTGGGGATTTAATCAGCAATTTACCACTCAAAACGGCGTCGTTCGATCTGAGGTGTAAAAAAAATACTCAGATATCGAAACAACGTTGTTTTGATCTGACGTGGATAAAAAGAATTAAAACAACGTCGTATTGCTCCGAGGTGGACCGCCAGCTAAGCCTCCGCAGTGGTAAATTTAAGCCACGTCGATTTTTTTTGGGGAGCTGAGGAATTTCATGTACCGTATTGCCAAAAATTGAAGATTATGATATTGTGCGCCAAAGTCCAAAAGTCGTGATTAATTTGCAATTTCGATAAAGGTGGTGATATTAGGCACAATTTTGCCTATTATTATTGATTTTAATGTTGATTAACAATTAAATAATAATGATAATAATATAATAATGACAAGATGAAGTCTTGCAATTATTATATTGTTGTATTAACTTGTAGAAATGAGAAAAGATTTCTTAATTTTGCTTGTCAAAATTATTAAAGACTTTTGTAACATTTCTTGTAAAAGTTATACAAGTCATATATATTTTATTGCTAAGAAGTTTAGTATAAATATGGGCATGGTTGATGTTCATTTTTGCAAGAATTTTTGTTA